TAAGTAATTAATTCACTATATCTATTCACAGATCATGGTGAGAATCATTTAAAAACGAATTAAAGTGGAAAGTAAATGGGTATAATCGAAGGAAAGAAGAGAAAAACTTTGAAATGTTTGCTGTTTGTCAGCTTGCTAGCTGTCTAAGTAAGTAAAGAATTTTACAGAGCGTTAAAGCTACAGTTAGACTGAGACTGAGTTGATCAGCACCTTTATCATCGAAGTGCATGAATACTTTTAAAATAAAATACCAGCTGAGGAGTATAACTATACTAGACATAATGGTGGAGTTTTAGTGGCGTAGCCAGGATTTTGTTAGTGGGTGGGCGTTGCCCAAACTTTTTCAAAGTGATAGAAATATAAGAAATTTTCGGAGAGTAGTGTAAATTATAAAACTTTTAGTGGGTGGGCTGAGAAGGGGCTACGCCACTATTGAGTTTCACGGATAATTTTGCGCATAATTACAGCAACACGAAATGTTATCAGTTTCTTAAAGTATGATAAGTCAATCGATAAGGAAGAGAGTAATAATAATGTAAATTGACATTCTGCAAACACGAAATAGAAGCAAATTATAGAATCGATTAGAATAACCGAATCTATTAGTGAAAGACAACAGAGCATATCGTCTGTTAGTCTGACAATCACTAGCCGTCATGTTTTAAAAAGTCACATTAGACGCTATCGTTCGATAGCTTTTTAGTTGTCTTAAACAAAACGAAATTCATGCAGTACAGAGGCTAGATAAAAAGACAACCAAAGTTCAGAGTATCCAATATGAGTTAGTGACAGCAATACTTTTCATCCCCGAAGACCATTTGAAGCGGAAACTGGTTTTCGAACCTAGTTAGAAAAATACAACGACAAAGAAAGTTCATGTAGAATTACTTCTTAAAAGAACGAATAAAAGCAGAATTTAGCAAGTGTGTCATTTTCGCGTGTTTTTCTGTAGATTAACAAAATCTCAAGTAGTACATTTTCTTCCGACCACTCCAAGTACATTGTATCAAGTTTCGCCACAGGTCTCAATATCAATCCGACACGAGGTTTAAGATCACATTCATTTACCCCAATTCTAAACTTCCTTAAAAAAAACACGCTTTTGGTCTGCAGAAAGATGTTTTACTCGGTAAATGTGTGAACTTCATTTATAAATGTGGACTTTCCATAAAACAAAGTTGGAACGATAACTCTTTTTACATATGTATTTTGTTTTGCTTTTGTTTCTGTAATATTTTTGCTATGACCGAGGTATGTTTTTCCTTTACGTTTTATTCCAATTATATATTATTTAGCCACGCCACAGCCATTCAGAAACAGCCGAAAACGATCAGATATTTTTGTACATCATATTAGGTACATCGGATCTGAAGTTCTTGGATTGATTAGCAATGTTCTACATTGCAGTCATTTCTGGCTCCAAATTTACGGTGAACTTTAAAATTGTTCGTGATTATATCTTGGTTGCTTTATCGTTCTTTTTTCAATAGACTTATAATTTGTTTCGTGATCTTTCAAATTTTTAAATTCTTTTAATGAATCCGCTACATTTGCTGAAAGTCCTCGTTTCTTTGGCGCATGACTTTTCGCACTAATCCTAGTGGCGTCCACGCTGTAGTATGCTTGAGGCACACTATCGTAGACACAACGTTTTGAGAGGCATTTTCGACTCTGACTTGAAAAGAAATGAGAAGTTTAGCTTCTCGATGGGAATTTTAAACTTTGTCAGTGATCGCAACAGTGAGGTTTTACTTAAAGAGTTTACTAACAGTCGTTAAAATTAACATAACTAATAATAAAAAACATAATCCAGGTGAACATGCCAGTATAATACGGCTTATTTTTCCTCACCTTTATTATGCTTATAATTTTTTCAAAGTGATAGAAATATAAGAAATTTTCGGAGAGTAGTGTAAATTATAAAACTTTTAGTGGGTGGGCTGAGAAGGGGCTACGCCACTATTGAGTTTCACGGATAATTTTGCGCATAATTACAGCAACACGAAATGTTATCAGTTTCTTAAAGTATGATAAGTCAATCGATAAGGAAGAGAGTAATAATAATGTAAATTGACATTCTGCAAACACGAAATAGAAGCAAATTATAGAATCGATTAGAATAACCGAATCTATTAGTGAAAGACAACAGAGCATATCGTCTGTTAGTCTGACAATCACTAGCCGTCATGTTTTAAAAAGTCACATTAGACGCTATCGTTCGATAGCTTTTTAGTTGTCTTAAACAAAACGAAATTCATGCAGTACAGAGGCTAGATAAAAAGACAACCAAAGTTCAGAGTATCCAATATGAGTTAGTGACAGCAATACTTTTCATCCCCGAAGACCATTTGAAGCGGAAACTGGTTTTCGAACCTAGTTAGAAAAATAGAACAACAAAATAGCCGTAACATATACTTTTTATGTTCTTATTCGAACTTCGAACTAAGTTCGATGTTTACCAATACGTCATTCATCAAAAACGGTTATTTGATCAATCACATTACTAGTGGTAAACATCGAAGAAAAGTAGAACGTATATCTATGAAAGATCAAGGTATGCAACTTTATCATTCAAAATTAGAAACAATCGGCGATAGGCGTATGATATCATTGATGTTAGAATCTACTTCTGCTACTAAATATCAAACCAATATTGTTCGTCTTCCACATGGATGGGCTTTGCCGAAAGAGCGTACCGTCACTCGTTTAAATCCTGCACAACCCCGTTATTTAACCAAAAAATTTTTCGACGGTTTAAAAAACAAAATGCGGTGGAAGCCCGAAGAAGTGGCTACCGAAATGCAACAAAAAAAAGGACTAAATGGAAAGTTTTATTTTACATCCAAGGAATTTCTAAAAGCAGGACAAATTAGGTCTTTTTTTTATCGGATGAAACAACTACAAGATAAACAACAATCCGCAGGTAAACCAATGTCGGACATACCATTATCACCACCGTCAATAATAGAAATTGACGAAGAAGACGATGAAGAGTTTGATGATGAACAGGTGTTCGTTGAGGTGGGACAAAGAGCTGACTTACGCGATGCTATGGGATTGCCTCCGTCTCGTGCATCCCGTCAGCCTCCAGCACGAGACCATACAATTCCACCAGACAAACGATTGGCTGAATCAACCCCTGACGTTAGTGCAAAACAACATTCTTCGAAAAAAACAAAGCAGTAATTTTAAAAGCTGAGTGGTTCACCTGAACGTAAATGTGTCTACAACACTTGTATCGTGATCAGCGACCTCGATTTGCTAGAAAAATAATGTTTTTTTCCTTTTAAAGTAAAGTTCGTGGTGAATGATGGTATAGTTGTTCTTATCGTACGCCTATAAAAAAAAATGATTATTAAAAAATGATGACTTTACAAGTATTATGAGCAGTTTTCTTTATCACGAGATGACCTTTACTCCTCGGGATGCAGATAACATTGCTAAACGCGACACTAAAATCAATATCAAAGTCGTAATTAGCATAAAAAATTAATCTAGGAAGAATTTTTTCAATTTGATTTATTCTTTCTTCTTTGTCTCTCTTATAGATACGATAGTGATACGGAAACAAGACGGCCATAGTAACGACTATACAGGATAAACCTTTTCCGTATCACTATCACCGTCTTGTTTCCTAAGCCCATTAGCATCGACTTACGAACCCTATAAATCTTTTTCTCTCCATTATGTTGGGTCCAAGAAATGATACCACGTCATTACAGAGAATAAATAGAAGGGTTCACTCATCGAACACTAACACTATCCATTAAGGGCCCCCTCCCCTCTAAAAAAATTTTTCCCAGAACACTCAATCTTACTGAAATTTTTTTTTACTATGTATCTGACCATTGATAGTTCTCAGTAAAAATTTGAGCTCATAATATTGAGTTTTTCGGGAGTTATTGTAACATCAAGGGTCAAAAAGTAGGTGTCCGTGTGTCAAAGATTTTGTTTTCAATTTTAAGGATAAGGACCTCGGGATGGTGTCAAAATGTAGAGAAGACCTACCCCTACAACCTAACAAAGCCGGATTTTTGAAAAAAAAATTAATTTTTTTAGACAGTTTTTTCAAAAAACCTAGATTAATTTTTTAGAAAGCTCGAGTTTTTTGTAATCAAATAAATTGAAAACAAAAATTCCGGCTTTGTTAGGTTGTAGCGCTGATATTTACCTTCATCTTAAAACCTTCCCGAGCTTTCTAACATTTAAAATAGCGGAGAAATCTTTGACGCAGCACAATCAGGTAAAACAAAAAAAACAGTTTCGAGAAAAACGCAAAACAAGTTTCTCCTTTGATTATCGCGGTTTTTTTGGAAAGTGGTACAGAGAAAAGTCTGAGAGCAGTTCGTCGTAGGTTATGGCGGATCGAATGAGCACATGTAGAGACATGTGCGACGTACTTTTTCCCATATGTAAGCGTTATTCCCACGGAAAAACCATAAAAATTCAATCAGTTTTTGATGCCGGGTGCCTCAGAAAAACCGCTGTAAAACCCTCAAAAACCATCGTAAAACCAATAAATCATAGTGCATTCGAAAGCAGATATATTGGGCTATACAGCTATGCATAAATGTCCAAATCGATTTTTTTGTCGAAAAATGCTTTTTTTGAGGGGTGAGGGGCCCTTAAGTGATCTGTAAGATGAAATTATGATAGTCAAGACGAATACAAGAAAGAAGAGAGTACCGAAAATCTAAGCCAGATAACGAGAAAAACTCCAGCATATTGTTTGAAATCGCTTTCCTATAGGCTCAGTTATCTTTTCTCCAGATGTAAAGTATCACGAAACGGAACAAAACACCGGTGACGCCTTCTCCTGGTTGGACGTTGTCGTGCTGATTAGGGGCTCCATATACGTGGTTCAGTAGTTCACTTCATGGACACTTCAAAATTACCTCCAGTTCACTTTCGTCGAGATGAACGTATATCGTTCGTTAATTGGTCTCTAATTTATTTAAAATTGAAAATCGGTGGTGGTGTAGCCGGAGTACCAGCAAGAACTGTTCTGAACCAGTTCCAATGTGAATACCAGCAGCTTTGTCGTATTAGACTTTGCGTAGTGTTCATATAAACACTAGCTTTATTAGTTAAAAAGGCACTTTGTTTGAATATTGACGTCTTTTATCCCTATGATCGATCATATGGATAAAAGACGTCTACTTAATTGTCTAAGTTTCTGTTCTTTTTCTTTTTTGTACTCTTATTGAATCAAATCTGGCGTCATTCGTTTATTCCGATGATGACGAGTGAACATCGTCGAAATACCAATAATAAATCAAAATAATAGCACTGTGATTTGTATTAATCATGTTTTGTATTTCTTACTACGTTTTTTCAATATTACTGCTGTACCAAAATATTTTATTACTAATATTCGTCAGAAATACGGCGAGTTTATATTCCTATCTATCCGACGTCTTGAGAAATTACCAATAAAGTACCAAAAGAGCAAATGTGGCTGTGAATTCTTGCGATTAACACTTATCTATAATTTAACACTTAAGTTCGTTCGTTTCAAAATGTTGAAAAATGAAATAAAATCTCAAGGAAAATATCATTCTTATCAAAGAGAATGTATTCAATTAGAATACAAAAATCGTTATAAAGATTCGACGACTGAAAAGACATATAGAAGATATACTAAATAGTTTACAGCTAAAGTTATCATCAAATGATCATACCGATCTAAAACAGTTCATTTTCGAAAAAGCCAAATATGAAAACGATAGAATAACGAAAATCCACGAGAAGAAATTAAATATATTAAATAACGGAAATATCGGACAAGACTATAACGCATTAAAGACTAAAGTATTACATAATATTTCTAGCTATACACTAACGCCAACTGAAGAACGGCTTCTATGTCGCGGTATGAATTTCAGTATAGAACATAAAATAAAGGATTATTTAGAATTTAAAACAGATACAGAACGTAATGTATCGAAAATTGAACAACACTGTCATTCCTCAGTCTTCAAAACACTGTGCCGGAACATGCATGATTATTCTCAAAGCTTAATAAGAACCAACAAAAAGAAAATAATTCGTAATATCAGTGACGAAGAATATCAAGCAATACGTTCACTAAAAGAAAACAAAAATATTACAATCTGCAAATCTGATAAAGGTAATGCTATAACGGTCATGGATAAAAAAGAGTACATCAAAAAATCCCATACAATATTAAAAGGCAAACAATTTAAGTCTACAAAAATTAACTTAGTTAAACCACGGGAAAATGCAATGAATAAATATATAAGAGCACTATACGAACAAAATGTGATAGATCAAAAGACATTTTTAAACTCACATTCAACATGTGCCTCAACTTCTGTCTTTCATGGACAAACTATCCGATCCGTCCTATCATCTCCTCTGTTGCCACATATAATTATAACCTATCAAAACACTTAGCGCAAATAATCACAAATGGACGACAAAAACCATCTTCGTATATAAAAGACAGTTTTGAATTTCTAAAGAAAATTATAAACTTAAAATCTAACAAAAATGAAATAATGGTGAGCTTCGACATTGAATCTCTTTATACCAATGTTCCTGTACATGAAGCGATTAGCATCACTCTGGATATTATATTCAAAGATAAAGATAATTCTACTACATGCCCATATGATCGTCAACAATTAGAAAAGCTATTAGAATTAAGTGTCATCAATATTCCTTTTCGGTTTCAAAATGGAAACTATATTCAACCAGATGGGGTTGCAATGGTTTCGCCTCTGGCACCCATCTTGGCTGATATATTCGTCTCCAAACTTGAACAGAAATTAAACAGATTCAGCACTAACAAACCAAAGATGTGGATCAGATATGTAGACGATGTCTTCTGTATATTTCATAAACAGCAAAATATCGATCAATTTCATGTAGGGAAAGTTAGCAGCGGATTCGAGTAATCCCTGCTGATATTCGCTCCTCGATCTTGGTTACGTTTCTAATTACTTGGGTTAGGTGTAAAATTAAATTCTGCATCGAATAGTCATATTTTTAATGGGGTCATTTTATGGCCGGTGACCCACATTAAAAATATGACTATTCGATGCAGAATTTAATTTTACACCTAACCCAAGTAATTAGAAACGTAACCAAGATCGAGGAGCGAATATCAGCAGGGATTACTCGAATTCGCTGCTAACTTTCCCTACATGAAATTGATCGATATTTTGC